CGAGGACCGGTGAAAGAGAAAAAAATCAAATAAAACACTGTCAAGATGATCTCAGACAATTTTTAATTCTGTTGTTGGATTTACTTATCACTACTAGATGAAATTTGTGGAAAAATTTAAGCAATATATGAATTATTTTATCTGTTTTACATTGGCTTCACAAGTGTGTTTGTAATATAGAGGTTCACATTCGATGTGAGAGCTCTATAGGTATATAATTGCTCATGTACATTTTTCCCTCATGAAGAAGAAGATTACAAGATTTTCCTCACACGTTCCTGTCTTTATCTCGTTCAAAAAATAGGCTCCCTTAGAGATTCTTTTATATACAGTAGAAAACTAGAGTGACTTAATATATTGAACCCCATGAAATGTTGTAATCTAAATCGAACCTCTACGGAGGCCATCATTTTTTGTGGTCGCCTCGTCAAATTATATCTCGATGTGTGTCAAATTAGATCGAGGAAGATTTCAACTTTGACAAATAACAAATGTATTTTAGTACTTGTTTAGTTATAAGTGAACTTTCTAAGCTTAGCGACAACTTTGCTCGAATGACTTTTGCTTCCCTCTTTTCCTGCTTGACTAATTTAGCTTGCCTTCTTGCATATGCACACCAACGACTTCTCTTCTTGGAAAATCTTGCTTTCCTGTATGAGAAATGCGAGGAAGAACTGAATGATCTTAGGAAAATTTTTTCTGTACATAGTTGAGATGGTAAGTGAAGAACGCAGTTTAACAAATGCACCTCTTTAGAAACTAGATTTCCTAATGTACATGGAGAATAGAAATAATATTGTAATCTAAATTGTTAGGTTTTAGATGTTTTGTAATGGGCAATTCTGTAAACAAAAGGACTTAATTGTAAATGTTGTAAAAAGTCAAGGAGTAATGTGTAATTATGTGAAAATGAGTTTATTAAGCCTAGGGTTCAAGTATGGCAAAAGAAGGAAAATACGGCTCGAATTTTCGCTAGATTATTGCTATGGATTGGCTCGAGCGTAAAAAATAAAACCTTCATTACTTGACTGTCGCCCTGCCTTGACTCGAGCTACAGCCTGTTGCTGAGCTCTTGCTCGAGCAACAGGTTTGTTCGAGAAATTTTTATTTCGCGATTGAAAGACTTTTTCCCTTGCCCATTACTTTTCCAACCTACCTATAAATATCAAAATACATCCGAACGTGAATTACAAGGTTGAGCATCGAGAGAACTTCATCTGTGAGAGATCAACCATATTTTGTCTTTCAACCTTCATCCATTGACATTGTTTTGGTGAGAAAAAGATTGATTTCATAATCCAAATACCAAACTGTTCTTTTCATCACATATGTCAGAGTTGCTGAAGATCGAGGGAAATTAACTGGAAGTTTTGTTGAAGAAAGCGGTGTTCTTAGTGGATCCACATGAGATAAACGATTTCACAAAGTTAGGAATTGTTGCAAGAGAACAGAATCCAGGAGAGTTTTGGAAACTGCAGCTAGGAGTGGTGCAAGCTCCAGAATTCAGGAAAGGTGTTGGAATTGCAATCAAGAGATCAGATAGTACATGTCGTCGTCTAGGTTGATAGGCCGTAAGTTGCAAATCGTTTATAGTGGATTGTTGACTGAAATGTCCGAAATTTTTCTCAGTTGGGTTTTTCCGTGGTCATACCATGTGTTAATTTACTGCTTTATTTATTGTTTATGCAATTTGCGGTATTCAAATATAGGAT